ATGTTAATGTATAAAAAATTAAAAATATATATATTGTGCTAAAATCGCCATTGGTTATGTTTGTGCTAAATATAATTGTCAAGCCATAAGTCTATGACAATGCTAACATAAATATTTTCAAAAACTMAAATACATTATAATATAGAATAACTGTATAAAAATAAATATTATATTGTAAAAACTCAAAATTTGGGAATAATCTATAAAAAATTATTGATTAAATGGCCATCCTAATAATAGATATGACTAAAAACAAAATGTTAGAATTTACTACAATAGTTCTAACTGCAAATATTATTAAATTTGATCAAAAAATTTCTAACTATATATATTCTACACATTTCCTAAGTAATAATTAGGATAAAAAGTGAAATTTTTAAGCAATGCTAAAAATCTCTATAAATATTTTTGCTTTTAATAATTGATTTTAAATGCTAACTCAGTGCATCATGTAGCCGTTTAAAACCCTATTGAAAATGTAATTTAAACAATTCAAGAAAATTAATTTACTCAATAATTTTTGTAAATACCACATTTCAAGATAATGCTAAAACAGTTATAATAGACAATATCATAACTGATTATTTTAATATAATATTTATTATCTGACATATTTTGAAATGTATGAAATAAACTAAAGTAATTCTTAAGAAGCACGGTAATTATAACTACTGTCTACTGAACTACATTTTCTTAAGCTTTTTTTGATATGTATTAATATAAAGAAATATATATTTTTAGTTCACATAAAAAAGGCAGTTAATGTACAAAAAAAAAGTACTGATGAAATACAATAGGTAATACTAAAATTCTATTTTTAAGATAACCAAAGATATATTCAGTATTCACACATTAGTGTTAATGATTGTGAAAAACTATACTATAATGGTTAATCCTACCTATAAAAAAATCAATTCTTTTTCCAAACTAGTACAATGGATATWAAAACACTAAAGATGTGATTAAAAAAGGGAACACCTAAGGTCGGTGATTCATATTACTAATACATTTTTTGTGGATCAATTTAATCTAATTCTAAAAATTTAATTCCTATAAAAGATAATATGATTACTGATTGTAAGATTAATATTTCATTTCGATTCATTTCAAAAATTAATATTTGGTGTTTAATTTTGGCAACCATTAAAGGTTAGCGCAGTCCTAGGGTGTAATGTTAATAGTATATTATAGGTCAGAGGAGCTGTAAAAAAAAATATATATATATATATAAATATAAATATTTTAACAAGAAGAAAAACAATATTTATAGATGAGAATTGAAATTGACAATTAAGTAACCTTATTCTTTTTCTATATAAAAAAAAAAGATTTCATTGAAATATATACTTGGCTAAAACTCGGAAGACTGAAATGCGAGAATAGAACTTAAATTAAAAATAAAACCATGGCAATTTGTGTTATTAATTTTTATGAATGATTTCTATTAATTTAAAGCAGACGACATCGCCCCTTCTTTTTCTTTTTAACCTGTAAAGCTGCTCTGGTCGAAGTTTCAAATACTTCACGGACACCCTCCTTACTTTTAGCTGAACATTCCAAATAAGCAAATGCATTGATCTTTTCGGCCATTGCTCGCCCCTCTTCTGGCCTCACGGGCTCTTGTTTCATCTTGTTCAACTCACGAATTGTATTTGGATCATTACGCAAGTCTTTTTTGTTACCAACCAATATAATCGGCACATTTGGACAGAAATGTTTCACTTCCGGAGTCCATTTCTCTGGGATATTCTCTAATGAATCTGGTGAATCTATAGAGAAACACATGAGGATAACATCCGTGTCAGGATAGGACAATGGTCTTAGTCTATCATAATCTTCTTGACCCGCTGTATCCCATAGTGCTAGTTCTACTTGTTTGCCATCGACTTCTATATCAGCTACATAGTTCTCAAACACGGTGGGTACATAAACTTCTGGGAATTGATCTTTGGAAAACACAATTAACAGACAAGTTTTTCCACAGGCACCATCGCCGACGATGACGAGTTTTTTTCGAATAGCAGCCATATTCTAAAACTGAAAACAGTACCACATWATACGATTAAAGGTTTATTCTAATATTAAAGTTAGTTACAAACAAAATTAGTTAAAATTAAAAACAAAATACGATTGGAATGGGCTAATCAAACCACACATACATACATGGCCACTCACACRATTCAAACAGAACAGATTACAAATATTATAGTAAGTAAAACTATAACAAAAGCAATAAACAAAACTATATTACAACATAACAATGTAAACAAAAAAAAATAATTGAATATAATTTATTGGCTCAGCTTACAAGAGAAGTATTTAAATTCGATGTCCAACAGGTGTATTTTATTTTAATTAACGAGAAACTTAAAATAATTTAATTGCTTGATTGAATATTGAAGTGAAAATAAAAAAATAAACAAAAATTTATCAGATATCAATGTTTACCTAATTTTTTTTTATGTAGAGTAAGCAAACATAACCTCAATTACACAAGTTACGTATTTTTTAAATATTTTCGCGGTCAACTATCACGATCATCGTGTTAATAATTTTTACATAACAGTCAACAGATAATCAGTACTTAATTATGTAATACCACAGAATAAAGTAATACCATAATTAATAATTATTAMTTTCCCACACAGTGCTGGCGGGAGGTTTAAGGTTTTGCGGGGCCTGGGACAGATATTTTTCATAGCCCCTAGACATTTTTTATCGTCGATACAAAAAATTTTCTTGGCACGTCCTAGTAGTTATTYGTGTGCTATTTTTTCTATTTTATATAACTTACCTAAAATATTTATTGGAATTGAAGTGCACATAAACAAATTAAATTATTTTCAGTGAATTATTTTGGACGTCAGCGTTGCGTGTCGACATTATAATTTATTTTTACTCTCACTCACTTATTATATTCCGATTATCATCTGATAACGTTCGTCAATCATGARTCATGATCGTAAATATTTAATATTCAAAACAACAATCGTGTTTCTGTTTTCTWTTTACAAATCTATTGTAATTAAGTTTATATAATTCATAATAATTCATCAAATTATTCGCAATATAATATTATATTGGTTACATTTTTTTAGATGTACACTTCATTAAAAACCCACAAGTCGCCACTGCAACCAGTCACCATTGCAGACAGCACTTGTATTTTTAATTTGAAAAACAAAATTATAGTCTTAAATCATAAAATGCGATGAAGGCAAGTTGGTAATGAGTAAGTTGTAGGTAAATATAGATAGGCGATGAAAAGATTTTAAAATCACTCATCTTATTCGATCGTTGAGCCATTGACCTCCCATGTGGTTATGTGAATGCCGGAAAAAGTCCCCGTTAATAAAATCATACGAAAAACATGATTGTACGTAATTATTAATTTTATTTGTAAAATAAACGCAGTATATTTGACAACAATGTATTACATGGTATAGGTATTATAAGTAAGTTTCAAAAACGAGTCCAATARTTGATGTATATTATACCTGGGTAATTTACGAAATAAACGTAATATAAATAATATTTTCACTTTATCTAATAGGTATGGGTAGTGGATAGTGTACCTACACCTTACTTATCTAATATCTATCTATTTTACGAGCCTGTACGAACGTAATTWAAGTATTCGGTTTCGTCGACTCCCTTCTCAATAACCTCCACCGACGTGGAATGTGCACCACAGTACCTTAGTACCTTACTGGATACTATAGTAGAACCAACGTGTGTGAAGGTTGGAATAATAGGTTTAATCATTTGGTTGGGCATAAAAATCCATCGATTTGGAAATTATTGAAAAATATGGAAAACGGAGTGGGGGCTGATAACGCCGAATTAACATTGAGTGAAATAGGGCAATTATTAATTAACTTACAAGCCTAACCTAACCTAACCTAACCTAACTTACAAGCGACCACATAAAAGGCATATAATGCAAACTCGATTAAAAAAATTATGCGAACAATTTACTAGGGGAGAATTGAGCGTTGATATCTTCTTGACGAATAAAGGGCATAATATAAGAATGAAATCTGATTAAATTTGTAATAAGTGTATTTTTTTTCTTTAACTTGTAAAAATATAACTATACATATACTTGTAACACACAATTTTTTAAAAAWWTTTGTAACTWGTAACTTGTAAAATATATCTATTATATACCTGTAACATATAATTATTAAATGTTGTAATAAATGTAATAATTACGTACAATYATGTTTTTTCGTATGATTTTATTAACGGGGACTTTTTTTTCCGTTTACCGGTGTTTGTATAGATATAACCGATATACGTATTCATATTATATTCAATATAATAATATGTAACTAAATTGTATCATTGTTTCAAATAATTGTCTCATCAATATTGTAGGTAAAGGTAATTACTAGTAAATTAACTTATCTTCTCTATTCATTGATTTTCGAGACTCATCAAGATAGGATGTAATAAACTATTAATATAACTATTTTTTTTTTACTGACAAAATTCTTTAAAATCACGAAAATTTGCAAATTATTTTATGTATAGGGAATTCATAAACAATTTTATATTTATTTCTAAGACTTAAAAACTAATACGAAATTTCTCATCCGTTTTTAATGTTTTTATACCTTAAAAGAAAAAAAAGTTACTGGAAATAGTCACATTCACTTTTTAATTTTTATAAGCATTTGAAGTTCACAATATTGGATATTCGTAAATTAATGATTTATCAACGAATGATATCAACGAAATTATCTTGTATAAATTTAAAAACGAATGATACTAGAAACAGTTGAAACATTCACTCAAATTGTATTATTTTATTATTTTATGTAAGTACGTGAAAATATTTCAAAACTATTTTGACTTTTTTTGTGTTATTCCTTGACACATGAAAATTTCAATATGTTTATTTTTTTTCTATTAATACCGATACCAAATTTTTCACTGGGTCATTTACTCAATAAGCTTGAAAATTTAACACTAGTCTTTTCATAAGTTGTAATTATATCAGCTCAAGAATGTTAATACATAATTTTATTTATGAACATTTAATTAAAAATGTATAAAATGTTCAATAATTATTATAACAAACAATTGAACATTTAAAACATAGTTTCTCATAAGTAGTTCATACCACAGAACAATATTATTATTTATAATGTTCATACTGAACCTAACTTTTAAAAAATATTTATACATATGGCTTTTGTTAATGAGATTTTAGTTAAAAATTTCAATGAAATGTGATATTTTAGTGAAAATATTGATTATATTTATGTTATTGTAATTTAAAAATATTATTCATGGGTATCTAATTACTGAAACTTCAATGTGAAAATTAATTAAACCTACTGTATTAGTAATAGTTAATTAGTAAATATAATTATTTTAACAGCAATTTGTACACGTTAACTCAAAAATGTTTTTCATATGCAATGATTTATCATTAATTCAAATTTAATATATTATGTTTTACAATAATATGACTTATTCCATGACAAAGAACATTCAACACCTACTGCACATTTTTAGAGTAGGTGTTACCTATTTTCTCCTTTTTTTTTCTTTAATACATTAATATTTTTCTAATCAACTGCATTAATGTTCAAAACTTAATAAAGTTGTATAGATCAATAATGATTATTTTACCGCCTGTGTTTATACAATCTATATGAATCTAACTATTTATTTAATCATTTAGACGTTTCATACCTACACTTCTGCTGATAAAAAAACATAGTTATACTTACCGGTTAGGTATTAATTATACTCTGCTACATATGATGTGAATTCTATTATGTAAATTGTCTATAGTACATGCAAATATACAATACTATTCATGATTGGTTTTATGACAATACACAATAAGTCTATAACTGTGTTAAAAATAAAAACAGACCTCTGCAGGAACTGCACTTCCCCTACTGAGTCAAAACGTAAGGCCAGTGCTTTGGAAAAAAAGTCACATCCGTGTGCATAATCCAGCCACTGAATTCTACTCTTATTTTGAACAGAGTGTAGTCTAGATCAGCGGTTCCCAACCTGTGAGYTCATTTAAGGAACGCCACGGTTCATCCGAGAATGAAAAAAATTATTAAATTATATATTAAAAATTTATTGTAGTTAAAAGACAAAAAATTATTTTACGTACAAAGTTACTTAGAATACTATCTGTATATCCAATATTAAATATAGTATTTCTAATATGTGTCAAAAAATTCAATAATAGATAAAAACAT